CGAACTGCCTCGGCAATTATTGATTCCATAAATTTTCCCACTATGGAGGTTAGGCTTATTGGTCTATAGTTCGAAGCTAAGGACCTGTCACCTGTTTTGAAAATAGGTATCACATTTGCCATTTTCCACTTATCTGGCACCATGCCAGTTTGTAGTGATATGTTGAAAAGATTAGCCAAAGGTGTGCTAAGCTCCTCTTTACATTCCTTTAGAACCATTGCATACAGTTCATCAGGGCCTGGGGATTTGTTAGGTTTTAATTTATCTATTTGCCTAAGGACCATGTCACTTGTGACCCTAATCGTGCACAGTTTATTATCGTCCTGTTCTACATAATTTACCATTACTGGAATATCGCTGGTATCCTCCTGTGTAAAAACTGAGAGGAAGTATGTGTTAAAAATTCTACACATTTCCTTATCACTGTCAGTGAGCTGACCCGAGGAACTTTTGAGTGGGCCTATCTTGTCCCTGATCTTACTTCTGTATACCTGAAAGAATCCTTTTGGGTTAGTCTTCGATTCTCTTGCAACTTTAACCTCATAATCTCTTTTTGCTTTTCTAATTCCCTTTTTTATTTCTCTCTTTAACTGAATATATCGATTTCTTAATTGCCCATCTCCTCTTTTGATTTGCCTATATATGCCTCTCTTTTGACCAATCAGATATTTTAATCTATTGTTCATCCATTTAGGATAATTTTTGTTTGATCTGATTTCCCTATTTGGAACATAATTTGACTGAGCAGCTAGAACTATGCCCTGGAAAGCATCATATCGGCAACCATCACCACCTACCTGACCCTTAGTCAGGTCATTCCAGTTCAGCCCACCTAAGTAATTTTTCAGTCCTATGAAATCAGCCAAGCGAAAGTCAGGGACGGAGACTTGATTGCCATTATTAGGGGAATTCCATGATATATTAAAACTGAGTGATTTGTGATCACTTTCCCCAAGCTCATCATTAACCTCAAGATTATTAATTAGTGTTTCCCTACTGGCAAGAACCAAGTCAAGGAGGTTATTTCCCCTAGTTGGTTCTGTCACAAAACTGTTTTAAAAAAACAATCCTGGATCGTATCAAGAAAGTCACCTGACTCTAAATTCCTGTCAAATTGCTCCAGTCAATCTGTCTATAGTTGAAATCTCCCATTAGCACAACATTTTCGTATGTAGATGCCTTACGAATTTCGTCCCATAGAAGTTTACTGCACTCCCTATCAAGATTTGGGGCCCTGTAAATCACACCCAAAATTAGTTTTTCTCGGCCCTCGAGAAGCTGTAACCAAACAGATTCAGTGGCTGACGCTTCTAATTTAATACCTTGTCTACACAACAATTTAAATTGTCTCTGACATACATCGCTACTCCACCACCTTTCCTGTTGACCCTGTGAGTGTGGAATAATTTATAGCCTTGTATGTGACATTCAGAGGGGCATCTCTCTATCTTTCAGATTGGAGCCAGGTCTCTGTTATAGCATAATATCTATGTTTTTCTGCACTTGCAATTAATCTTAGCTCATCTATCTTATTTCTTACACTCCTGCTATTAGTATAGTAAACCTTAAGGGAGCTAGTCCCTTGCTGCCCTCTGCTGTCCCCCTTTGTTTGCTGACCTGATCTGTCTTTATTTTATAACTTCATGCTGAATGCCTTTTATACATTTACTGTTTCCAACCCTAGTGTTGCAACCTGCTTGTTTCCCACACACACCATACCTCTATCTTCCATCAGTTTAAAATCATAGGCATTTCACCAATGGCCTTCTCAATCGAGTCTGCAAGTGCTACACCCCCTGCCCCAGAGAGATGTACCCCATCCCTTGCATACATATCATGTTTGCCATAAAAGTTGTTCCAGTTGTCAATGAATGGGATTGCAAGTTCCTTGCAGTATCTGTCTAGCCAGCAATTTACACCAATTGCCCTAGACAACCATTCATTTCCTACTCCCCTTCTAGGCAAAGATTGCTACATATGATTGGGACCCTCCTTAGACTTAATGAAATCTATAGCTGACCTGTACTTACCTAGCAAGCTCTTCTCTCCTACCCTTCCCAATATCATTTCCACCAGCACTGAGACAAATAATGGGCTTGTTCCCATTACCTGACATGATATTATCCAGCCTGTTAACTATGTCCCCAACACCAGCTCCAGGGAAGCACACTCTATCTCTCATCTTCTTATTCCTATTACAAAAAGCACGGTCAATATATCTTACCTGAGAGTCACCAACCACAAGAATAGCGCTTACCTCCATTAGCAGGGCAGTAGTACCTTTACCTTCACTGGCCACTGAAGTACATTCAATCCTGAAGAACAGAGAAGCGATTTCCTACCTTCAGATCTTCACTCTTAACTTTCCTTACTCTGATGCGCCTCCCATTACTGTGAACCACTCTCCACTTGTAGCAGGTGCTGGGCTGCACCTCACTGCTGGTAGCCGTTGCTACCTCCCCAACTACAGCCTCCTCACAGCGAGAGACAGACTGCACCTCCCTGCTAGAAGCCTCATTCCCCACAACTCCAGCCACCTCACACTCTCTCCCAGACCCATTGAGGTGGACCTTCAGCCTCCTAATCTCCTCCTGGAGAAGCAAGACCTCCTCCTTCAACTCTCCAACCTCAATTTTTAAAACACTGCAGAAGCAAGCCATGCTTTGTAACCGTCCACGCTAATCCCCAAAGCAGCTCAGGGTCTGTGACCTCACGTGACGACTGACCAATTTCCCATTGTATTGTTTATGTATTACATGTATATTTCATGTAAAAAAAATTTTGTTTTAATACTTCTGGGTGTCAGGAACGGATTAATTGAATTTACATTATTTCTTATGGGGAAAATTGATTCGTAAATCGTCCATTTCGATAATAGTCCCACTTCCAGGAACGGATTATGGACAATTATTGAGGGACCACTGTATCTGAATACATTCACCTCCTCCATACTCTCTCCTTCCAATCTGATATCCAATCTTTTGTTACAGAAGGTTCTGACGTTTTTTGGTGAGACACTCGTTTATGTATACATCTTTCTTTAATTTAATAGACATAATAATTAAGTCTTTTTTCCTGTCATGTGAATGGAATCTAAGCATAACACTTTTTCTACCATGGGATCCTAGTAACCTGGCTTCCTTTATTTAATATCCATGGGGAAAATGGAAAAATAATCCTTCCTCTGTAAGCCATGCATGTCGTAAGAGGCGATTAAAATGCCGGGAGCAAGGGGCTAAGTAACCTCTTCTCCCGTATTAATTACTAAATATAAAGAGAAGAAAAACTTTTGTTTCTGCTTTTTCGGGTCACCCTGCCTCGGTGAGAGACGGCCAGTTTGTTAACCCTTTTTCTTACCAACATTGTCTTCCCCATCACCCATGCTGGAAATAAGTCACTGACTTTTTTGGGTTATCCTAGGTTCAGTACACATGCTGCTATGTAACTGTATTCGTGTATATGTATCTGAATAAACTTACACACCGTCTTCCCAACCACCTACACCATCTTCCCCACCATCCATGCTGTCTTCCCCACCATCCAAGCTTCTTTACATAACACCCAAGCTGCCTTCCCAACCACCCACACTGTCTTCCCTTTTCACTATCTGTAGTATCTGGTATACTGGGCATTGCTTTCAGTCACAAACTCCTCAAAACCATGAAATTAATTTTCACTGACACTTCCATCTGTGTTAGAACTATCACATAGGGAGAGAAGAGTTCCAAAATCGCCGAGGAGTCAGATATTTCTTACCACTAGGCATGCTGAACAAGGACTACTGAAATGGCATTCCCACAATGCACCACTATTTTTTTTATACTGTGCACAATGACCATGCAGATCCATTCTCTCACATGTAGGCCTACCAGCTTTCTCCTGCTAATTTGAAGCCATTTGAATTTTGGTATAGTACTACGGCACCTACATTGGCTTGTAAGCCGTAGTGCTACAGCACCAACAGTGAAAGGGTTAAAAAAAAAGAAAATTTTACATGCCTTCTACAACAAGCTGGATTTGCTGTCTGAGTGTGAGCAAGGTAACTTTTATGAAGAGATTCAGGAAAACTGGATAGCTAAATCTAATTCCTGGTGGTGGGAAGTACGTATACGTAGTGCCTGCTATCTGGACGAGAGGCGGGGATACAGTGCTTCCGAGGGTCATTTGAATTGTGATGACTGTGCATATTTGGCAAGAAAGCTATTGTACCATCAATGGTGAATGTCTCACTTTGTGGGTAGCTCTATCTTACTGAGAGACAGTGAGCGTGTTACAAAAAAATTAGCACACTAGCTGTGTCCCACCAAGTAGGGTGATCAACAAAGAGAAAAACAAGAAACATTTACCATCACTTATTCCATGGTTGTCTTGCCAAAAGTGTGCAGACATTACAATTCAAATGACCCTCCAAATGACAACATCCTTACTCCTCCCTCACAGTGCAGGCCTTATTACCTTCAGGACGAAATTTCCGCTAACTGGTTTCCCTGAATCCTTTCATGTGCGTATACATGTATTAGATTGCTCACACTCCAACAGCATATCAAGCCATAAAACCCACTCATCTCCATTCATTCCAATTTAATACACTCACACAAGCCTGCTGGATGCTTAAGCCCCTAGTATACTAAGTCACCTTACCAGGGGATAGGACAAAGTATCAAATTATCACTAACTCATGATTGTGAGGGCCTCTCACATACAATCACATACAGACATAATTGAACAACAAGTGTTCCCTCATACTGTGAACATAGTTATTATAATTTTAAAAATAAAAAATACAGAAATGCAAAATGAAGCCAAATCTACAAAAAAATTTATTATGCAGACTTAGTTTTATATTTTTCACAATTTTGTAGGACCTCTAGGAATGTAATCCTTGCAAATTTGTACAGATGCCCGTGAACTTCCAGAAATTAAACAATACTGTACATGTACAGTGGAATACACTATCTATCTAATGGAAAATTTTTTTACTACCTTTGGATTAAACATACTTGATGAAATAGTGCTGGAACAGCAATGGAAGCAGCATCGCCATTCACAGCACAATGGTGTTTGTGGCCTCTATAATACTTGTTATCCGATGCCATTTTTCTTCTTGCATATAAATTGTCTATCTGTGTAAATCTGAATCTATTTATTTTGATTGAAGTGGATTCCAAAGTTATTACTGAAAATAAAATAAAGTACATTACAGTAAAATTATTTACATTCAGGAGTTTTTACAAGTACGGTAGTACCTTGGTACTTGAACTTAATTTGTTCCAGAAGGCTGTTCGAGTACCGAACGAATTTTTCCCAACCAATTTTCTTTTCGGTTGGCTGTTATCACTAATCTTCTTAGGCCCCATGGTGACTTTATACAAATAATATAAAAAAAACATAAAAAAATGTGAAGAAACACGAAATAGTTTACAGCGAAGTTCTGGCAGGTCGTGTTTGTTTGGTCAAGTGCCTAGCAAACGGTCGACTACCAAGCGATTTTTTATTGAACAAAGCATTCAAATACTGAACTGTTTGAGTATGGAGCTGTTCAAGTACTCAGGTCCTACTGTACAGTGCAACCTGATTCAATAGACTAATAGGGAAATAGGATGTCTAGTAATGCAATTATCCATTTAATCCAAATGATAAGTTTTCTATGAATGTATGTAACAATAAGGAACAATTCTGAATTTAAAGGATTATATTAAATCCAAAATCAATTCACCCAGCAGACCATAAAAATAATAGACAATTCTGAATTTAACAGACTTTGTCCTTTGTTTCCAAAGTTTGCCCAAACAATGCATTTCATACATTAAACCAATGTCTGTTGGACAAACTTAGATTTAGAAAGGATATCTGGAAGTACAGGTTTGGCACTAGAGATGCAAATGAGAAGAACTCCCAGGTAGTGTCATCATTATTATTATTATTACTATAATCAAAAAGAAGCGCTAAGCCACAAGGGCTATACAGCGCTGCAGGGTAGGGAAGGAAGCGAGGGTATTGGATGGCAGAAGGGAGGAGGGATGATCAGCAGGTTACAGAAAACAGCGGGGCAGGGGATAGTACGGGGGTAGAGGGTAGCAAGAGATTGAAGTAGAAAGGGCTGAAGGTATCAGAATTTGTGAAGTAAGTCAGTTGTTGTCAAAAAGTCAATGAGAGAGTCCGGATGAAAGGTGGGTCCATCAGCGAGAAGGGAAGGTAAAGAGAGAGTAGCGGAGCGAAGACGACGACAGAGGTAAATTCTGCGTGCTCGTTGATAAAGTGGGCATTCCAACAGAATGTGGCTGACTGATAATGGAGCTTGGCAATTCTCACAGAGAGGAGCAGGACGCCTCTTCATGAGATATCCATGAGTAAGACGAGTATGGACAATGCGAAGACGGGAGAGAGTAGTCTCCCAACCTCAACACTGGTGATAAGAAGACGGCCAGTAACCTATACTCGGTTTAATATATTGAAGTTTGTTGCCGAGCATAGTAGACCAACGTTGTTGCCAACGGGTGTGAAGGTGGGAAGATATTGCAGCAAAATAGTCCGTAAATGGAATACCTCTATAAGAAACTGGTAGGTCATGTACTGCTGACTGCGCAGCAGTGTCTGCCTGTTCATTGCCCTGTACGTCAACATGACCAGGGACCCAACAAAAAACAATATCTTTATGCTTGGTAAAGATGCGGCGTAGCCAAAGTTGGATACGGAGGACTAAGGGGTGAGGTGTATCAAATTTTTGTATAGCCTGTAAAGCACTAAGGGAGTCTGAAACAACCACAAATGATGACACAGGCATAGATGCAATACGGATAAGTGCTGTAAGGATGGCATACAATTCAGCAGTAAAAATACTAGCCGAAGATAGTAAATGCCTTTGTACGACGCTGTCCGGAAACACTGCTGCGAATCTGACGCCGTCAGAAGACTTAGAGCCATCTGTGTACACGGCAATGGCATGAGAATGAGAGTGAAAGTGGTCAAGAAAAAGAGAGCGGGAAGCGACCGTAGACAGTTGGGCTTTCGAGCAAGGGAGGGAGAAAGAACAGACTCGAACAGCTGGAACTTCCCAGGGGGGTAGGAAAAAGTGAGATGCTACATGTACATAGAAAGGTGGTAGTTGAAGAGAAGACAAGAGCGAATGAAGGCGAAGAGAGAAGGGACGGAGTAAACAGGGGCGGCGAACAAATAAAGAATGTCTACTAATATCAGTGACCATTCTATAAATGGAAGAATTGCGGAGATCATGAGAGCGTACATAGTAGCGCAGGCAATGGGCATTACGGCGATCGGATAAGGATGGAACGTTCGCTTCTGTATAGAGGCTCTCGACAGGGGAAGAGCGAAAAGCACCAAGGCATAAACGTAATCCTTGGTGATGAATGGGGTTAAGGCTAGAGAGAGTAGCAGGAGATGCCGCTGAATAGATCTGGTCACCATAATCAAGTTTTGATAAAATAAGGGTGGAATGTAGGCGGAGGAGGGTTCGACGATCAGCTCCCCATGAAAGATGAGCAAGGGTTTTAAGAAGGTTCAGCCGGCTGTGACAAGTTGCCTTCAGAGAGGTAATGCGAGGTTTCCAGGATAACTTACGATCAAAGAGGAGGCCCAGAAACTTGACTGTATCACGTTCAGGGATACGGGAGCCATAGAGGTACAAAGGATGATCGGAGATGACAGAGCATCTAGTGAAAGTAATTTGGTGGGTTTTAGTGCTGGAAAATTTAAACCCACATGTGGTGGCCCAATTGGAAACACGGTCGACTGCATGTTGGAGAGAAACTGTAATGAGGTGACAGTCAGCGCCTGCACAGGCAATAGCGAAGTCATCAACATAGAGCGATGACCAAATATTTGATGGAAGACTAGAGGCCAAATCATTAATAGCAAGGAGAAAAAGTGTTGTGCTCAGAACACATCCCTGGGGGACACCTTCAGCTTGGATAAAGTCCGGGGAGAGCACATTATTAACCCAAACACAGAAATGCCTGTCAGTTAAAAAGTTCTTAAGGAAGAATGGTAGATTGCCTCGAAGGCCTAAGGAGTGGGCTTGGGCTAAAATATTATACCTCCAAGTTGTGTCATATGCCTTCTCAAGGTCAAAAAATATGGCAATAACTGAGTGGTTATTCGCAAAGGCATTACGAACATACGTATCCAAGCGTAGTAAGGGGTCTATGGTAGAACGTCCCTTACGAAAGCCATATTGACGAGTGGAGAGACTGTTATGTGTCTCTAAATACCACACTAAACGTCTATTTACTAGGCGTTCCATTACTTTGCAAACTGCACTGGTAAGAGCAATGGGACGATAGTGGGAGGTTTCATATCCCGTAGTGCCTGGTTTGCGGAAAGGGAGAACAATGGCGGATTTCCACAGCTGTGGAAGAACTCCTTGTGACCAAATAAGATTGTAAAGGCGTAATAGGACTGCAAGGGCTGACTGATGTAAATGTTGTAGCATACGAATATGTATGTCGTTGGGCCCAGCTGCCGATGATCGGCAAGCTGAGAGTGTTGCCTCCAGTTCTTGAAGTGTAAAAGGCACATTATACTGTTCTTCTCTGAGAGAAGAAAAGTCCAAGGGTGCTAACTCTCTGGCAGACTTTGAGGAAAGAAATGAGGGGCATAGATGGAGTCCCTGAGAAATACGGACCAGATGATTGCCAATTTCATTGGCAACATCTAGTGGGTTTGCTATATCAACACCGGCAACCCGCAGAACAGGAGCCGGGTCAGGAGAATATTTACCACTCAGTTTTTGTACTTTTTTTCCAGACTGCACTCATAGAGGAAGCAGAGGTGATGGTGGAGACATAATCTCGCCAGCAAGTGCGTTTAGCATCACGGATGACACGGCGAGCGATCGCACACTTCTGTTTAAAATCAAGGAGTCTCTCTGTGGTTCTATTGTACCGATACCTGCCCCATGCAGCGCGTTTCAAACGTACTGCACGAGCACAAGCAGGAGACCACCAAGGCATGCATTTCTGAGAATGCCTGCCCGAAATTTGGGGTATAGAATGAGAAGCTGCGGTTAAAACGGAGGACGAGAAGAGGTGTAAAAGCTCATCGATGGAGGACGAAGAAGGAACCTCTCTAAAAACAGTTAGGTGTGAGTAAAGGTTCCAATTTGCCCGATCAAAGTGCCAGCGTGGGATGCGAAGAGGTGGTGAATATGAAGGGGAAGTAAGAATGATTGGGAAATGATCGCTGTCATGTAAGTCCGGGAGAACAGACCAAGTGAAGTCTAATGCGGTGGAGGAAGAGCAGACTGAGAGATCGATGCAAGAGAGAGTATGAGTCCGAGGATCAAAATGGGTGTGCGTACCTGTATTTAAAACATGGAGGGGGTGGGTGGCAAGAAAAGCCTCTAACTGAATTCTACGGGAATCACAGTGAGACCCCCCCCAGAGGAAATGGTGGGCATTAAAATCACCAAGTAACAGAATCGGTGGCGGTAATGACAAAACAAGAAAGGCAATATCCGGAATAGATAATGCCCGAGAAGGAGAGACATAAAGAACAGAGCGTATACCACCTATGCAAGTGGATACGGGCTGCTGTGTAATGCAGCGAAGTATGAACAAATAGCTGATGGTACGGAATATCAGTGCGTAGAAGAAGGGCACTTTCATTAAAGGTCCCATCAGGAAAAGGATCTGAAGAATACAATAAATTATAGCCTGAGATGGGAGAGATAACAGCAGAGTGTAATTTTGGTTCCTGTAAGCAAACACCAACAGGGGCAAACTGGGAGAGTAACATCTGAAGCTCACTCCGATTACCCCTGAGGCCGCGTATATTCCACTGTAAATAGGCCATGATTGGCAATGATAGAGATACTTGAAATCCGCAGGTAAGGGTTCCTACGGACTAGAGGGGTTAGAAAAGTCCACATGCGGAGGCAGTGGAAAACGTTCAAGCAGCGAAGGAACGGTGCGCTGTGAAGAAAGGAGTTGCGCAGATGGAGGAGAGGAGAGAGAAGGAACAGAGGGTGGATCAGTGTCCATTGATGGTTTGGTCTCTGCAATATATTCAGAGATTGCTTCAAGTGTTTTGGAATTCAGAGACGTCGTATGGGAGACAATATTGGAAATGGTAGGGGGAGGGTGAGTAAAGATTGGAACTGTATTGGACTGTACCAAGGTAGGGGGGAGCGAAAGGGTGGAGGGAACTGGAGAAGCGTGGAAGGGGATAGAAGAGGCAGAAACCTGGGAGGTGGCAGAAGAGGAAGAAACCTGGGAGGAAACAGGGGAGGAAGGTACAGTACGAGGAGGAGGGTGAACCTCTACCACTTGTAACAGAGCCAGTGAGAGGGGGAGAACCAGGGACAGAGACAGGGAGGGTAAAATGAGGAGGTGGAAGATGGGTAGGAGGTGTTAACGGACCTTTTTTTGACTTTTGAGAAGTAGAGGGACGATTGGGAGGAGGTGTCATACGAGATCTCGTCGTTACTGAGGCTTGTGAGAGAGAACACGAAGAAGCGAGATCAGGACTGAGGCGTTGGAAGTAGGGACGTCTGAGCTGAGGACAGCAAAAGGATTAGATACAGGAGTGACTATGGGAGAGGTAACCACAGAGGTGGGTGTAGAAGATGGGATACCAGAAGTGGGGGGACGTTTTGAAACACAGGAATAAGAAACACGTGGGAGTCTCCCTTGGAGGCGGAGATGAGAAACTGCCATGGCATAAGGGAGACCTTCTGTCTCTTTGAGGTAACGGATTTCCCACTCGTTTAAATAGACTTGACAACGGCGAGAGTACGAAGGGTGAGCCTCATGACAGTTAAGGCAAGAGGGAGATCGATTGCAAGACGTATGAGAATGGTCATCGGCACCACAGAATGGGCATTCGGCGATAGATCTGCAATATTTCGCTGGATGGCCAAATCGCCAGCAATTTCTACACTGTTGTGGTGTAGGGATCACCTTTCGGACTTGTAACCGATGTCCTGCTATATAAACTGAGGATGGGAGTTCTCGGCTGTCAAAAGTTAAACGAGCCACATTGCTAGGGTATCGTCTCCGCCCGCGGGCAGGAAGAACATAAGTGTCTACCTTGAGGATTGGGAGATCTTGGAGTTCTAGCTGTTCAAGAATGTCAGTGCCACATGTCTGGAAATTTTGTTGAACTATGGTATGGGGCAGAATGACGGTACCACTACAAGAATTGAGGGAATGATGTTTTTCAAGAGTGACAGGAACAGTATCGATATGGGAAAGACGAGAGAGCTCATGAGCCTGGGTAGCATTCTGTACGGTGATGATGCGCGTACCGCTCTTAAGAGCATGAAAAGAAATATCTTTACCAACATGGCGTAGGAGTGCCTTGCCAATACTGTGGTCAGAAAGATAGGCAGTAGAGGAAGTCGGTCGTAAAGTGAAGAATTTAGTCCATTGATCAGTCTGAAACTGAGCGTGGAAAGGTAGTGAAGGACGTGTCGATCGTTTCTGAGAAGAACGAGAAGGTGGAGAAGTATCATCAGCAGGTAATTGTCGTTGGCGTTTAGGCGTGGGACCAGAGTTGGCCCGACGTGGAATGGGTCGGCAATTTGAAAATTGCCGCACCGTAGAGGGAGAGGCCGGAAGCATAGTCAGAGGAGAGCGAAGGTCCAATAAATCGAAGGAGTCAGTCGAGGCCTCAGTACCTGAAGTGGGTGAGGAAACAGCACCGGCAAGAGGTACAGAGGCATGAGGAGTGTCTGAAGAGTGGTCCAAAGACGAGGTGGGGTCAGAACGGGGTGCAGTATCAAGAAGGGGCCCGGGGGTAGGAGGTTCATGGACTAGGGCTGCCATGGTTAGGTTACTTCTTTCTTTTTGTTTTTAAGAAAAAAAAGAAAGAAGAAAAGAAAATAAAAATAAAAAAAAGAATAAAAAAAAGGGGGGACCGGGGAGGGATAGTTCCTAGGAGGAATGAAAGGGCCAGAAATCTCCCTCCGCGCCCAAGAGGACCTCAGCACCGCAAGTAGCGCAGATGCAGCATGGAACCCGTGCCATACCCTACCCATCATGCTAGTAAACTAACAATTCGGGATAGCAACCTCACATCTGCCGAGCTACCTCGGTGGACAAAAGAGAGGGCGGCCGGATATCCGCCACAAAGCATACCTCCTTCGGCCACCACCCCCGGAATCCGAAAGGTGGCTTCCAGAGATACACTCGTCGCCCGAAAGACACCCAAAGCTACTCCGGGATACCGGAGAGGGATCGGGACATCCCCAGGCGATCCAGATTCCACGGCAAACTATGCCACCGCCAAGAACCTCAACGGAATGGGATGGACCCCGGTATCCTTTCCCCTACCTAGGAACTGGTGTGCCTGTGGGAGAAATCCCAAAGGCTGAAAAGAGGAAGGGCAAAAGGGAGGGATGGGGAGGAGGAGGAGGAAAGGAAAAAGGGGAGGATGGGGAGGATGGGATAGGGGAGGGGAGATTGGGGGGTAATTAGGTTCGGTCTGAGGAAGAAGACCGACAGTTCTAATTCCTCACACCAAGAGCCTCTTCACCACGCCAAGGAGCCCCCCTTGAAGAGGGGTAGTGTCATCAAGGCAAGAACTTTGGGTAGCTTTAAATATAGGTTGAACGGGTACATTTCTGGGAGGGGGAGGAGGGTAAGTAAGTTTATTCAGGTATACACAAATACAGTTACATAGAATTATCATACTTAGCAGCATGTGTAGAGAACCTAGGATAACCCAAAAAAGTCAGACAGAGTGACTTATTTCCAATGAGAGTCAGCCTTGCCCAATGGACCAAATGGTTTACTGCAGTGTTCCATCATTCTTGTCTTCACATCCACAATTTGTTAGGTAAGACACATAGGCAACAGTTAGGTATCTTTATTTCGAAACGTTTCGCCTACACAGTAGGCTTCTTCAGTCGAGTAGAGAAAAGTTGATAGACGCAGAAGAGACTTGAAGACGATGTGATCAGTCCATCACCCTTAAAGTGTTGAGGTGGTCAGTCCCTCAGTCTGGAGAAGAGCATTGTTCACATCCACAATTTAAAAAATGTAGCTCCAAGAATAGTTTAATTTTCAACTTAAATTTTCTCTTTTAACCATTTGTTTACTGCTGCCTTTCTGTTCTATTCTAATCCTGAGAAGCTCTATGCCACACTGAATATGACAAATGATAAACATTATTTCTACAAAGTATGGTTTACAATTGATTCAAAAAAAGGTGATAGTATTGACATGCTTTATGGAAAGCCCCTAGTTATGCAGAAGATTTTGGGAAGTCTTAAAATTAACTTATAACTACATTACTAGAATTATTTGCAAGAACAATTTGTGGACAATGTTTGTGGAAGTTATTACAATTGTTGATCAAATACAAATGAAGATTCTAATCTAAATTTTAGTATTACTGCCCAGGACATGCAATACACTGAAAACCCAAAGAATGTATAGCATTTTGGGAAAAACTTTGCCTATATTGTACCATACTTAGAATTTACTCAGTCAATTCATAATAAAAATCACAAAAGATGATATAACTAAAATTTAGTGGAGTGAGCAGTACTAGTTACTCAAATTGCAATACAAAATATGATAAGATAGAATATGCATCTAGTAATATGTGAGAGTTGAAGGAAAGCTGGAAAAAGAAGAGGAACAGAACTGGATGAAAATAGCAGGTTTCAGGACTTATTTGGCATAATACATGTATATTGCTATCAAGATCACAACAAGGTAAGAAGTTTTTTAGCAATAGCTTTGAAGTGGTTAGCAGATGTGAAACCTCTGAAATCTTCAAGGAGACAGTTCCAGATTTTAGGGCCCTTTATGCGAACTGGATTTTTACACAGGTTGAGTTGGACATGGAGGATAAGGGATAAGATTTTGTTTTGATTTTTAACCCCAGAGGGTTAGCCATTCAGGATAACCCAAGAAAAGCAATGCATCATCGATGGACTGACTGTTTTATTTCCATTGGGGTCCTCAATCTTGTCCCCCAGGATTTGACTCATATCAGTCGACTAGGTGAACGGAACAACAGGTGTAAGGAAACACATCCAATGTTTCGACCCTTGCCAGGGATCGAACTATGGACACTGTGTGCATGGCCTGGTCACTAAAGCTCTCGCTTCACAAGGCAAGGGTCTGCGTTCGATTCCCAGTGCGGGTAGAAACACTGGGCGTTTCTTTACACCGGTTGTCTATGTTCACCCATCAGTAAAATGGGTACCTGGGTGTTAGTTGACTGGTGTGGGCCGCATCCGGGGACAAGGACCAAATTTGCCTGAAATGCTCTGCATAACAAGGGGCTTTCTATATACAGTAGAAGTATGTCATTGATGTCAGCTAGGCCTGTATACCATGTACATGTACTTGTAGTAAATAAGATATTATTGTGTATTATTATTGTATTACTGTATTATTATTATTATATTATTATTACCTACCAGGCCATGGGCCACCATGTTTCTTGTGTTATGCCTAAGTTGCAGCTGTCAAGGAGAGTTTCAGAGAAGTGTTTATACTAGAATTGATTGAGCAATGTTAAGTCAGTATTGGCAAGAACAGTTTTTGCTTAATTTACTGTGTAGAAAAGACAGTTATTTATTGATATTTCAATGGAAATATCAAGGACCCCAATGGGAATAAGTCAATTTGACTTTTTTGGGTTATCCTAGGTAATCTACACATATGCTGGTATGTATTATAATGTATGTAATTGTATTTATGTGTGCCTGTACCTGAATAAACTTACTTACAGAATACTGCTTATCACTGCGATAAGACCGATTTAAATCAGGGTAAATACTATCTCTATTCATGAGCTAGGAAGTAAGATATGCAAAATGATGGCAGCTAAGAGAAACTGAGCGAGAAATAATATAATCAACCGGTATAACTACGTATTAACAAAATCTGTTATGAAAATAGACAAAATGTACCAAAGTTCAAATTTACGATAAAGTCACTTATATTTTTTAAAATTTCAGGCTATAAACTGCAATTATGAGGTATACTGTTACTTAGACTAAGCTGAAGACAGAAAACATAAGAAAATCTATATAAAAAACTAAAGTAAGTTTTGCATTATCAATTGCAATGTAAACTTCTATACAACATGACAGAGGAATTTTAAAAATTGAAGTAAAAAGTATGCAATGAAATATTACAAAAATATAAAGATAACTAGGACCCCAATTAAAATGTCACTGACTTTTTGGGGTTATTCTAGATAATTTACATGTTACTATGTACGTGTATGATAATTTGTGTAACTATTTGTGTGAACATTAAAATGGTATAAAATACCGACAGATTGTTAGGTAAGACACATATGCAACAGTTAGGTATCTTTATTTCAAACTTTGGAACAATGCTCTTCTCCAGACTGAGGGACTGACCACCTCAAAACTTTAAGGATGATGGACTGATTACATCGTCTTCAAGTCTCTTCTGCTTCTATCAACTTTTCTGTACTCAACTGAAGAAGCCTACTGTGTAGGCGAAACGTTTCAAAATAAAGATACCTAACTGTTGCACATGTGTCTTACCTAACAACTATTTGTGTACCTGTACCTAAATTAACTTATTTAGCAGTACTTGACAGACAAAACAATGCATATATAATAACTAATATGAGGATTTACACTATTAATTGCACAAAGTCTAATGACACATCAAATTAAGTAGAGGACATTGGACTGCATATAACTGTTAAGTAAATTATAAAATATATACAGTTCAAAAAGACTAGGTCAAAATGATAATTTTTTCAATTATTATTATAATCAAGGGGAAGCTCTAAATCTGTAGGATTATACAGCATCTGTGGGGGGATGTGGAAGGTATTCAGGCTTAATTCGGGGAACTGGAGCACAGATCCAATTCCCTAGATCAAGATCCCCTCACCAGCATCAAGGAACCTTCCTTGAGGGGTAATTTTTTTTATTTTTCAAATGATGCAAAAGATAATGAATCTACAATGTAAGTTTATTCAGGTTCAGATACACATAAATATAGTTACATAAATTATCACACATGGCAGCAAATTTGTAAATTACCTAGGATAACCAAAAAAAAAAATCAGGGTGACATTTCTATTGGGGTCCTTGTAAGCTCGGAAAATTAATGCATTGCATGCTAGTGGCTGTCTTTTGAGCCTAACAGTACTTTATCATGTGTAAACTACATTATCATAATACTACATACAAGAAATAAAAGATTTAATCTAATTCTGTGAGAAATACGAGTTCTTAAACAATACAAATGTCTGACATTTCTGGGTTATCCTAGGTGATTTACACATATGTGAACCTATGTATGATAACTGCACTTATGTGTACCTGTACCTAAATAAACGTACTTTGCTTGTCTCATGTGGCAATGTCTCTCTGGTTCACCTAACATTAACTAGGTACCTGGGTGTTGCATCCTGGGGAAGGGAACCAAAAGATTACAATGGTTTTATGTTAATAATTCCACAGAAATATAAGGACCCCAATGGAAATAAATCATTTTAACTGATTTTATTTTTTTGTATTATAACTACTTATGTACCTATACCTAAATAAACTTACCAATAAGCCGTATAAAAGCTTCATAAAGCAAGGACTTCAATGGAAATAAGTCCTTTTGACTGACTTTTTTGGTGCTATTCTACTTAATAACTTTACTAAGGTATAATAATTGTACTTAAGTGCTCCTATGCCTAAATAAAATTTCCTGTACCAGTAGACAAGGAACACTGCAGTAGGCCTACTGGCCCATGCTAGGCAGGTAGTAAGCGCAAATAACTGCAACAAAGATCTAAATAAAACAAAAAAATAAATGAATTAAAAAAAAGCGTAAATGTAAATAAATATTTACAAACAATACAAACTATGTCAGTATTAGAGGTGCGTAGTCGACCAAAACCCGAGAAAGTGGTTTAAAATATGTGAACTTTTTGAGTGTGGCGGGCGGGTGGGCGATGGGTGGCTTCTGTGTGGGTGGGTGATGGGTGGCTTCTGTGTGGGTGGGTGATGGGTGGCTTCTGTGTGGGTGGGTGATGGGTGGCTTGTGTGGGTGGGTGATGGGTGGCTTGTGTGGGTGGGTGATGGGTGGCTTCTGTGTGGGTGGGTGATGGGTGGCTTCTGTGTGGGTGGGTGATGGGTGGCTTCTGTGTGGGTGGGTGATGGGTGGCTTCTGTGTGGGTGGGTGATGGGTGGCTTGTGTGGGTGGGTGATGGGTGGCTTGTGTGGGTGGGTGATGGGTGGCTTCTGTGTGGGTGGGTGATGGGTGGCTTGTGTGGGTGGGTGATGGGTGGCTTCTGTGTGGGTGGGTGATGGGTGGCTTCTGTGTGGGTGGGTGATGGGTGGCTTCTGGGTGGATGGGTGATGAGTGGCTTCTGTGTGGGTGGGTGATGGGTGGCTTCTGTGTGGGTGGGTGATGGGTGGCTTCTGTGTGGGTGGGTGATGGGTGGCTTCTGTGTGGGTGGGTGATGGGTGGCTTGTGTGAGTGGGTGATGGGTGGCTTCTGGGTGGGTGGGTGATGGGTGGCTTCTGTGTGGATGGGTGGCTTCTGTGGGTGGGTGATGGGTGGCTTCTGGGTGGGTGGGTGATGGGTGGCTTCTGTGTGGGTGGGTGATGGGTGGCTTCTGGGTGGGTGGGTGATGAGTGGCTTCTGGGTGGGTGGGTGATGGGTGGCTTCTGGGTGGGTGGGTGATGGGTGGCTTCTGTGTGGGTGGGTGATGGGTGGCTTCTGTGTGGGTGGGTGATGGGTGGCTTCTATGTGGGTGGGTGATGGGTGGCTTCTGGGTGGGTGGGTAATGGGTGGCTTGTGTGGATGGGTGGCTTCTGGGTGGGTGGGTGATGGGTGGCTTGTGTGGGTGGGTGATGGGTGGCTTCTGTGTGGATGGGTGGGTGATGGGTGGTTTGTGTGGGTGGGTGATGGGTGGCTTCTGGGTGGGTGGGTGATGGGTGGCTTTTGGGTGGGTGGGTGATGGGTGGCTTCTGGGTGGGTGGGTGATGGGTGGCTTCTGGGTGGGTGGGTGATGGGTGGCTTCTGTGTGGGTGGGTGATGGGTGGCTTCTGTGTGGGTGGGTGATGGGTGGCTTCTGTGTGGATGGGTGGCTTCTGGGTGGGTGGGTGATGGGTGGTTTCTGTGTGGTGGGTGATGGGTGGCTTCTGGGTGGGTGATGGGTGGCTTTTGGGTGGGT